CAGGAATGTCTTTATAAACAGCCCTCTTAAAGCCTGGTGGATGGGTAGCAGAGTGTGTGTAGAAGCTAAATGAACAGCTGCTGGTTGTGATGCCCTGGTCTGGTCAGGTAGTCGCTGCTGATCCAGTTAAAAGCAGCAGACAGGAGGACGTGGAGTGGTGCAGCTCTATATGATTTAATGATGCACCAATAAGAAGTAATCTATGGTCGGTACTTTTTAGTCTGTGGCATAAATGAGTACAGAGGTTCTTTTTTTTTTTTTTTTTTTTTTAAAAACCTTTTATTTTTCAAAGTAGTTCCACTGAGAGGCCACCTCTTTTTTCACATTCACACAGTCACACATTGACACCTGAAAGCTGCCCAGCACAACCACAGACTGAGCTGAGACCAAAGTAGTACCACTGGAGCGCTCGGGGTTAAAAGGGCCTTGTTAATGGACACCACAGTGATGTTAATGCTGCTACACTGCGCTACTCTTTTTAACAGTAATTGACATTGTTGTTATTTTATTACAGTATTGGTGGAATAGTATTGTGCACAGGACCTACTGGTTTTGTTTGATGTGAAGATGTTTAAGTTCGGCAATGAGATTTTCTTTCTGCAGATGTAATTCTTCTGTTGAGTTTTTCTCACTATATAGTTTTCTTTTCCTGCAGGTGGACAACCGACCTAAATACTACGGGAGAGAGTAAGTTGGTTGTATCTGTTAGTCAGTTGTATCGGGCATGTTGCATCAGTACATCTCAAACAGTGAGGATGCTTTTGAATCCATTTTCGTTTACATTTAAGCCTCTGCAGTTAGATTTTCTTTATTTATTCCAATGTTGTTTTTCTCACATACTCAAAAACCTAATATTTTGCTCCTCTTTCATCCAGGTACCACGGGATGATCTCAAGAGAAGAGGCTGACAACTTACTGAGTCAGGCTGAAGGCAGCTACCTCATCAGAGAGAGTCAGAGACAGCCGGGCACATACACACTGGCATTAAGGTGTGTTTACTGTATGTTTGTGGGTTTGGCTAATCTGGGTAGACTCAGACAATCAAGAACCAACATGAGCTCAGTGCTCTGTTCAGTTCTGGTCCAGGGATTTCAATGCATTCATTAGTAAATCACCCAGGTGTTGTGAGGGTTTGTCCCTTCAGAAAAGGTTGCATTTGAGCTTTAAACTTCTCAGAGGTGCTCATCTCTAAACCTCGCATGACTCCTCACACTGAACCTTTTCATCATGAGGAGTCATGAAAATGCAGAGGGGTTATATTGGGTCTGATATTTTGTTTAGCTTTGTGTTTTAATATGACTCACAAATGCTTATTGGTCAGGTACTGATTCTGTGTCATGCTCAGAGGCACGACGATTGTGTGCAGAGGCACGACGATTGTGTGGAGGATTGTTGTTGCAGAAATTTAATGCAGCCAAAGGAGTCTGTCTGCATCCAAAATGCCACCCTGTTTCTTTAGCCTAGTTAACTTGTAGGCAGATAAGTTCATTTTAAACCAGTATTCACTTTGACTTGAATGTGAGCTATTATTTTCTCAGAGTAGGTGTCACACTTTTAAATGGGTGCATGGCACAATTTGAATTTAGTTTTGGGTCAGTTCGCTCTATTCATAGTCTTGTCATTCTTTCACCTGTGCAACTTTTTCTCCTCATTCACTCTCTCTCCCATTCCTGTGGTTATAATTACCTTCTATATATAGCCCTTCATAAACTAGGGTCCCAGGCTGTGCTGGCAGAAAAGGAAAGGTTGGATTTTGGGTTAATGATCTAACAGTAATGTTTTATCTTGCATTGGCTTCATTATGATCCGCTGAGGAGTGTGTTGGCCCAGGTCACAGTCTGTCTATCACAGCTTTGTCACTTTTTGTGCTATTTTTCAGCCTTCTGACATCTGTTCTCATATGCTAATTGTGCTAGCAGCTGAAGTTTTGAATGCATGAGCTACAGTGGTTGACAGATAAAATGTCATTGCCTGCTAGACTTCTCCCTAGCAAAGTCCTACATGTTTGACTTAAACCTTTAGGATCCACTGCTTAACCATGCTACATCTGACATGAAAAAAGAAAATGGGAATCAGAGAGAAAGATTTTGCCAAACAAAGATATGTTTGTCAGTCCCCTCTCAAAGTTTACTCCATTCCATCCTAGGTTTGGGAACCAGACTAGAAACTTCCGCCTCTACCATGATGGAAAGCACTTTGTTGGAGAGAAGAGGTTCGAGTCCATCCATGACCTGGTCACAGATGGTCTTATCACACTCTACATTGAGACAAAGGTGTGCTCATGTATCCTCGCCTCCCCTTCCATCTTAGTAACAAACGTGTCATTTTCCACATTTATAGCAATTGTTCAAGACTCAATGTAAATGCAGATTAAGGATGTTTACTTGCATTTAAAGCTTTTAGCGTTCAAGTCCATGTTTGCCAGGTAAGAAATCAGCCAGCTTGACTCATATAATACCCCTTGATCACCATTTGTTTACTTGATCATATGAATCCCAGGATTCCATAAAACCCTGTATTTTTCTTGAGCTCACTTCCCGTTAAGTGTTTATTTGTTTATTCAGACAGTAGGAAAGCACCAAGGGGGTCAAAACAGTGTTGTAAAATGAAGAATGGAATTATTACAAGATTGTCTTGGTACAGCTGGGTCCAGTGTAGTTTTGCATGCAGAAAAATAATAACCTATACTGTCAGGGGAGACAAAAACACTGCAGTATTATGGGTTTGTGTGCAACACAGCATGATAAATTAGCTGAATTTGTTTAACTGGTATATTTTTCTCTTTTGTCAGGCAGCGGAGTATATTGCTAAGATGACCATAAACCCTATTTATGAACATGTGGGCTACACCACCCTGAACCAAGAACCCACCCTGAAGAAACATCTAGCACACAGCTCAGACGCCACAGACGGACCTGCTTCAGCCAAAGATGACTGCAACACTGAGGAGAGGGTGAGGAAAACCAATTATATATCTGCTGAATGTTGACACACTGAGGGAGAAGACAGCAGATTTGTCTGTCTGATATCAGTTTGCCAGGGCTCGTTATTGACTTTCATCCCCCTCCAAGTAGTTTTACAGCCTTAAAATGTTGAAATTTAGCAAAATACTTTTGAAAATTGTAAATGTCCAGATCCAAAGTACAAAAGCCAACACATTTTCTTTCCTCTTCAGCTACAGAATAATACGGCATGGCTTTTACAGGCTGCATAATAAACATTCAGCAGAAATCATACTGAATAGCATCTCTAAATCAGCATCTTTAAAAGTGATCACTCTTTTCAGGAAATAGGATTTTTGAACTTGGGCCAAAAGTAACGACCGATAAACATCTGTTTTTGGCAAACTGACCTGTATGCTTGGGACTTTTTGGGTGTTCGTTTCAGTAACAGTTCGAGTAGTGCTGAATCAAAGTATTGGCTACAAACCAAACATATTAGGAAACCACAGTGTGAAATTATTCCTGAAAATGTACCGTTCTAAGACTAGCTGAATCAGAAGAACCCTGTACAACAGTGAGTAATAAAAGATAGCTCCAAACTGAGCTCAAGTTCAGTGTGTTGAAATACAAGATGATCTGATGAGTGAGGGACAGAGTTGAATCTAGTAGGCATAAGAACAACATTTTAGACATTTCTGTTTCAGTTCAGCAGAAAAAGGAACTGGACATTTGCAAGTGGAAGATGAGGCTCAAAGTCTCTGGACTTTATCTGCACAATTAATGTTACATAAATAATAAACCATGATCATATTCCACAATGTGGCAAGAAGTATGAAACAATGACATATAAATGAATGTTATCTAAAAATCTGGCTTTGTGAAGCATTGATTTAGTTGATGTTGATTAACCTTGGTAAAGGTAGGGACTGCTGCTGTATCTACAGTGCTAGGATGGAAGGATGAGAGCTGAGGAACATGGTGAATGAAGGAGGAGGAGGAGGATGGATGCAGAGGAGAGATGGCCTCCAGCCAAGGGCTCTGCAGTAAAATTACATAACAGCAGTCTGCCTGCAGAAACCTGCTATCTCCCTGAAGCCAGCTACTAAGTCTTCAGGAAACAACTTTGTTGTTGGCCCATTAGTTTCCAATCAGCTGTGAAGAAGAGTTTTTATTCAATTTTTCAGGTTTTATTCAATGACTTTTTTCTATCAGAGGATGAAAATAGAAGTGACAAAGTGTGGAGATGTGAGGTTTCTGTATGACGCTGATGCTAATCATCAGGCAGCATTCAGTGTAAATTTCAGTTCTGCAGCTGCTGTTTGTGCAGTTTGATGAATGAAAATGAGGCAAGAGATGCAGATCTTTTTGTGCAACCACTGCAAAACCCTTAGAGCGTTGTATAGTAACACACATGCACACTTAAGTGTAATAGTGTCAAGTTAAAATGGGCAGTTTTCACACAAAATACACACCAGTAGGCTCAAAAGTAGGTGCAGTGTGTGCACTGTGTTTGTCTGCTTCACCAGTGCTGAGGTTCTTCAGGCTCTATATGACCTGCAGTGGATGACCACCTACACTGTACCTCATACAGCACTACCTTTGCGTGTGTGTGTATATAATGAGGTAGTCCTATGTATGTGTGTGCTTTCATAATTGAGTGGATTTGCAGACAAAGCAGTGTGCCTGTGACATTGAGACCAGAGGTGGCCCTCTGCAGGGGAGGCAAACCCACCAGAAATACATAATTTATGTGTTCAGACAGTTAATAACCTTTTGGGTTAAATGCAGTTTTACCGTCCCCTGTGGGGGTGGATATGGTATGATTCTGGTGGCAAAAATCTATTTACTTATTAATTCATGGACAGTGATAGGAAAGTGAGAGGAACTTCAATTAATACAATTTTAATTCACCTTTGATCTGATAGAAAATATAGGATTATATTAGAGAAATTCACAGTAAATTAATAGTAGGAGATGTCATGGCTATGGAAAATATCCCCATCAGTGATGCTAAGCTTGCTAAGCATAACCAGCTTCCTTTCCCCTTTCTGTTTGTATTTCTTTCTCTGTATGTCAGAGGTGATCTTTTGTCAGCCACTAGCATCCTCCACCCTGCCACTGCTGTGCAATGAAAACTGCCTTTAAATATGTATAACCAGTCATGCATATTCACTGTTGTGATTGCGAATAAGTGTAGATATGTGGTTGTTCATTATGATGACGTTATAACTCAACTTCATGCTGAAAAAATGTAGAAGAAGTCATCTGGACGTAGTTTTAGGTAGAAGACGTTTCCCCTGTCATCCAAGAGGCTTCATCATTTCTGTCTGACTAGGGGTGGTGGTGAGTGCTGGTTGGACATTACTGATGAAGCCTCTTGGATGAGAGGGGAAACGTCTTCTACCTAAAACTACGTCCAGATGACTTCTTCTACGCTTTTTCAGCATACTACCACCTGGATGACTGAGAATTTGCACAGACAAACTCAACTTCATTCTCATTTTTAATGCTTTTTTTAAAAAGTCAAAACACTATATTTGTATTATTATGTAACATATCTGACAAGATCAAAATACCAAGTTTGAATCTTGTAAGTCTCTCCCAGACTAACCGGACTTCGTGCACTCCCGCAGCTTAAGGCCAAACATCCAAAGGCGGCACTTAGCCAGAAACCTCTTAAGTGCACTTGTTAAGTGAAACTTCAGCCTTAAACTCTTCTTATATAGTGGTACTTATTACATCTAAGATACTGGATGAGCAGGACTTCTGATTTAAGAGCCCTGTAAAGACAAGCTGACTGCAGCAGTTGCTGTCGTTTACAGTGGACACATTTTAAAGACACTGGGAAACATCTGAATAAAAACATCCTGAAGACAAGAGGGTGGAGGGAAAGAAAGAAAATGTGAACAAATGAATAAAACAACAGCTTTTTTCTCAGCTCATTCTCTCCCGCCCTCTCTTTCTCTTATGGGACAATTGAGGTGGCAGAATTGGTGGTGAACAACAAGAACCCTGCGTTCTGATTGGCTCGTTCTCCTCTCAGCGTGACCTGTTAAATTCATACATTACTGCCCCGTAGCTCAGCCTCCCACTCCTTTCTCTTTCTGTCTCTATCCCTCCCTTCTGCGCTGGCTTTGCCTGGCGAGTGTGTAGAGGGAAAGCGGAATAACACACACACAGAGCCATGTGCACCTAAGCGCTCACCTCCACGAGACTGAGAGACGGAGATGCTCATTCTGCTGCATCAGTCCAGTCTGAAGGATTTTGCCTCCCAACAAGTGAAGATTTATTGAATTACATTCATTGAACTTTTTCTGGGGTTTTTGTATCTCCACACAGATTTCTTGTTATTGGCTGGCTTTTGTTTTTTGCTATGAACTGGAATCGCACCATGCAGGGCTAATTAGATTGGCTGATCTTTGTGGTACAAGGACAGCAGAACTGGTCCTGAATTTGCTCCTCGGTCTGGGATGCTTTTGTCAGATGGGGCTTTGAAATGATTTGAGTCTAGTTGTAGTTTCCCTTCTCTCTTATTCCTGGTTTTGTTAATTCTTCTGGCCTTTTTGTCATTTTTAATGCCATCTGTATTTGCTGTTTTTGGTTTCATGTCTGATTGGCTTACTCTATTCATTAATAGGATTCTGATTTTGCTCTAAGAGCCAGTGTTCAATTTAAACCTCCAAAACTACAGGTCCCACAATGCCGAGCCGAGAGTCGTACGTCGTCAGAAGAGGTAAAAAGCAATCATGCGAGCGAGCTGAGAAGAGAACAGGTCAGAGGGGCTCTTTGTTTACAGCTGCTGTTGGTTTAAATGTCAGCGCTGGTTCAACTTCCTCCCTGCCAGTCTCCGGCGGCCCATCAGACCCTAGCTCTGGGGTGGGATTCCCTCTCAACCAGGCATCAGCCCCCTCCAAACCCACCTCCCCTGTTTCCACCTTCTGGCAACCAATCAGATCTTTTGCCCTCTCACAGCTAACATCGCTGGTGCGGCGGGCCACCCTGAGGGAAAGCGACTTGGCGCCCAAGTATGAGAAGGTCCACAACTTCAAGGTGAGACACTGCTTGACTTTCACAGTCCTGTCCTGTTTGTGTGTACCTGTGCGTGTGTATGTGTTACAAGACACCAGGACTGCTGATTCAGCTCTAGGGGTCTTAATCACATTTATCACAGAGAGCACAGTGTTGGGATAACCACACAGAAATACACACACCGCATTTACATCTCAGGCTTTTAGCTTTTGTTTGGTGCTTCAAATTCCCAGATCTCCATATTACAAGCAGTCATCAGTACAGAGCCACGGTGTCCTGAGCTCAAGGGAAATGTGAATGAACACATGATAACAGACACACTCGCACAAAGAGTGCTGTGACGTGATGGAGGTTACTAGCATTTCATTATATAGAGTCAGTTTCTGCAGCAAATGAGCAGATTAAAACTCTGTTCCCATTAAATTTCTCATAAGTGACCCCTCAGCACTCCTATTGTGTGTCCATTGTTCTTCATTTATTGCTAGGTTATATGAATCTAGGTTATATGAATGTTTTTCTCACCGTCTCAGAAGACAGTTATACCATCTTAGTACAGTTAAATCTATGTGTTTTTCCATTTTGATGTTGTTTGGCCATGTCTTTTTATGCTTTAATATTTGTTGTGACGATCGATTTTTGTCTCTCTCTTATACCAGGTTCACACATTCAGGGGTCCCCACTGGTGTGAGTACTGCGCCAACTTCATGTGGGGTCTCATCGCTCAGGGAGTGAAGTGCGCAGGTAACAGTCAGTCTCTTTTTCACATGCACTTCATGTAGTTTCTCAAGCTCATTGTCCACTTATCATCTACAAATATTCCAATATTCCAGCAATGATCCTTCTGCTCCTTTTCGCCTACTCCTCCAGTGTGTTCGACATGTTGCACCCCCTCTCCCCTAAACTGTGACTCAGAACGGGGACAGCAGGCTAAAGTTAATCACTTTTGTCATTGACTCATCTGTGGTGTGTCATGGATTTAAAAGATTCAGCTTGGTGCCAAAGAACACCCTGTCAGTGTGGCTTGGGTGTGTGGGTGGTGGACTGTGCCTCTGCAATGCCCACGTTTAAATGCAACTTTTGCTAAGTACTAGAGCTTTAAGGACAGAATTATATTGTCTTCATATTGCTGTTGAGTTTTTAAAGCAGAGTAAACAGCTGAAAGCGTGTTAAGGGAGTACAGGCACACATTTATGTAAGACTCCTGAGTGGACAATCTCTGTCTTTTTCTCTATCAGACTGTGGGTTGAATGTCCATAAACAGTGCTCCAAAGTGGTGCCGAACGACTGCCAGCCGGACCTGCGGCACGTCAAGAAGGTGTACAGCTGCGACCTGACTACTCTGGTCAAAGCCCACAACACTAAGAGACCTATGGTGGTGGACATGTGCATACAGGAAATCGAGGCTAGAGGTGGGAGAGTCAAAACAAGCTGCAACAACTGCTGTTATGTATGTGTACATATATACACACTGAAAGACTCCCTCCCCGTGGTCACAGGGGAACTGCCACAAACGGGGGTTTATTGACCACAATTCAAGACCTGAGTGAAACTAATTTCAATCGAGATGCCTGACTTGAAGTTATTGAACTTGACCAGAGCAGGAGAGACAGCTCGCCCCTCATCCCAGCTCCCTTGCTCTTTCTGTTTTTATCTTCTCATCGGTCTTCACCACCTCCTTCTGTCTCTGTCCATATCATGCCTGTGTTTTATGCCCCCTTTTCTGTTATTTACTTTTTACTTACATTTTAAAACCCAGTTTTCATACAGGGCTACAGATGCTACACACAGGGCAGCAAATTAAAATCAGTAATAATAAAATCTAACTGAGAATTTAGAGGTAACAAAAGAATTTAAACTGGACCAGAATAAAAAATTAATAATTGGGGAAGTGGGGAAAAAGTGTAGTACACAAGTACATGTAGCTATCAAGTGCTGAAAGTGTGTTAAAAGCGATATTGTAACAACTAACTGTTACAGTCAGACATTTTAATTAAATGTAGTGAATGAGGTAACATCTGTCCAGCTCTCCTTGTCTGCCTGCAGGTCTTCAGTCAGAGGGTTTGTACAGAATATCAGGCTTCAGTGAGCTGATAGAAGATGTCAAACTGGCCTTTGACAGAGGTGAGTGTTGCCCCTTTTGGTTATTGAGATGTGGAATATTGTTTTGTATGTCAGCAGCACAACCATGACAGACCTTCATGTTTGGAGTGCTTGAGGTGAATCTGTACGAGAAAGACAGTTTCCTATTAAGCATCAGTAAAATATCAGTAAAAACATGCAGTGATTCTTTGAAGATGATTATTTCATCATGGGGTTTCCTTTTCACTGAAAGTAAAGTTTTTGTTTTCCTCAACAGATGGAGAAAAAGCAGATATTTCCTCAAATGCTTATGAGGACATCAACATCATCACCGGAGCCCTAAAACTGTACTTCAGAGAGCTGCCAATCCCGCTCATCACATACGATGCCTACCCACGCTTCATAGAAACTGCAAGTAGGTCTTCATGCTTTCTGTGCCTTATTACATAGGATGCAAGAATGAACAGAACAATTAAGCAGCTGCGCAGAGCTTTGAAAGCGCAGTGTAGCCTGCAGCGTGGATGACATATATTTTGTCAGATCTTTTACTTTATTATGTGATTGTGCATGGGGTTGTGAGAATTGCTGTTTCTTAGGTGTCGGATAATCTAGGTTTAGGTTTTATGAGTGTCATATTTTGTGTGTTGCAGAGATTACAGACCCAGAAAAACGGCTGGAGTCTCTCCACGAGGCCTTGAAGTTGCTGCCGCCAGCTCACTGCGAGACGATGCGATACCTCATGGCTCACCTCAAGAGGTCTAAACACACAAGTCGTGCTTCCTCTTGTCTCGCACCTTTAGTTGTGGTAGCTTGGTTGTTTGAGATTCAGCTATTCCACACAGTAACTGAAGTTGATCTAGTTTTGTGGACATAGCTCCCTTTCCTTGTCCAATACACTTAGCTTCCCCTCTCTCTCCACCCAGGGTGACCGAGTATGAGAAGGAGAACCTCATGACCAGCGAGAACCTGGGCATTGTCTTCGGCCCGACACTGATGAGGGCCCCTGAGCTGGATGCCATGACAGCGCTCAACGACATCCGATACCAGAGACTGGTGGTGGAAACACTCATTACCAATGAAGATGTGTTGTTCTGAGTGAGGACAGGAAGGATGCAATGCATTTTCCTACTGTGGGGAGATGAGCTGTTGACTTTTACAATTAAATGAAGGAGAAACATGTGGGATACCTGGAACCTAGAGAGAGGGCAGTGCCTGTTTTTATGTGAAGAAAGGATAAATGAAGGAAGTGACTATTTGCAAGGAAGAAATGAATTAAAAAACAATGGAGACTCTAAAAACACTGAGGGGAGAAGTAGATGGAGGGATGCAGTATTTCCCTTCATTAGTCAGACTCACCCAACAAACTTGATACTTCCACAGACGATCCACAGTTTGTAATGTTATAACTGCACAACAACTAAAAGAAATACTGGAAATGTCCACCCTTACTTGACAGAAATAAAGAGCTATTACCTCTTGATGAGTTGGGTGAAGAATACTGGCATGTCAGCAACACTGCTTTGTCTGTGTAGGGGAAACACTGTGGGATCCATTTGTTCGTTACTAACTTCTCTGTCTGAAATGGATGCCTCGACATTTTTATTTTTATTTTTTTGGCGTCAGACTCAATTGAAGTCTTGCTGCTGGGGGGATCATTCCTCGCAGTAGAACTTAAGTGGCTTGGACCTGTTGTGTTTTCTTTACTTTACACCTCCCTCTTCTGCTACATTGACTGAAGAGTAATTCTTTAGTAATTCATTTTTAGTTGTTAACATAGATTGACCCCTTTTCATATCATATCATAAAGCTTTACAGGTTTGTTGGTGTGTAATTATACCCAGTAATGGAACTGATGAAGCTGTAAATTAAATGATAACTTCATTATCATTGTTGCTGAACCAATCCTGTGTTCTCTCACTTCTCCACCCGCCAGCCATCCCTCTGAAGGTGAAAACCTCTTGGAAAATGACACTTAAAATTCAGTGTCATGTGGTCCACTTAAAGGCAAAGTTAGCGATCATACAAATCTCCCTAAAATGAGGCCTTTTCTAGTTCAGAATTGGAGCTTTAAACTGGAATACAGTGTCCTTTTTTGCCAGGCATTCACATTTAAATCTTTTTTACTAATAGACAAGACAAATTCAACACAGACTGTCTGGCAGCTTTTATTTATTTCAGATCAGATTTACAGAGCTTTCGTTTTCACCTCAGTGGCAGATGGTGAAGAGAAGAACACGTCAGAAGTGACTTGAAACATGATTATTTGAAACAGATTTTTCTTTGCGCTATCATTTGTAGAATGCAGTATTGTAACTAAGCAGATTTTGTGCTCAAAATGCTAATTGAAATTCTTGAGTGATCACCTGGGTGCAATTGAGCAAAGTAGAACACATGAATCATTTCATGACTTGTCTGTGTTGTTGGTTTGAGTGAGATGATTGAGCAACAGTACTGTCACCAGCAGGTTTGGTGCTAGGTTATTCATCCCATCCTAAGAGCTAAAGCAAAGAAGCTCAATAAAACAAAAAAATGTTAGTTACTGAAAAGCAGTGTAAGTACAGTGGTGTTGGTACTTCCTTTTTTCACTGTGCTAGTCCACAATGAGGCCATGTTTTGGCTCTGTCAACATGTTTGGAAAGAAGATATATCTGCTGTTTTTTTCTTATCCGGCTGCTACCATTTAATAGCATTCACACAAGTAAAGAAGACCAGTTGTGGGAATTTTAGAACTTTTTGACTTGTTTTCATCTTTCCACAGACAGCGAAAACCTGAGAAAATGTGATACCTGAATACAAATTAGTGTAATATCTTACAGATATGTGAAGATCAGGTACAGGCTAAACATTGCATATTGAGAGGCCTGCTGTAATGTTTTGACAGTGCTCTGATATGATGAACACAGTGTTGTAGGATGATGATTGTAATCATTTGTAATATGAAGGAGAGTATTTGTCATGTTTTATTTTCTCTTTTAAAACTAGTGCCATTTGAAAGGGTGGAGATGTAGAATAGATGCCTTCTGCATGGAGCCCTCCTCAGCTAACACACACTGAACCCTTTCTTCATCTTTTTCTACCCCCATTTCTGTCGGGGGTCACTGATATACTTCCTAGTACGCTCTATTGGCAAAGCAGTGACAACCCACCGGTGGTTAGGGTTATGAAAATCAAGCGCAGCCAATGCTGAGCTGGTTGTAAATCAAATGGATGTAATATAAAAGCAACACCATTTTTCTTACAAACCTTGGTTATGCTTTGGTTTTTCGTGTGCTATTTATCTGAACTGTTTTTGGTGATCTTTGTTGTTCATTTCTGATTTAACAATGGACTAACCCAGTGACAACTTGTGAGCCTTAAGTGGTCTATGACACTTGCATTTTGGCATCATGGAATGTCATTTCTTTATTATTGTCATTGCTGTAAATAATTTTCTAAATGGTGTATGCATGGTGTCTGTGCAGATTCTCAGTCAACCAGGTCATAGTAAGCTGAAACAACTTAGAAAAAATCAACTGGACTTAGATTTCTAGGTCGAAGACGTTTCACCTCTCATCCAAGAGGCTTCATCAGTTCTGACTGACTGGTGTTGAGCCAACTTGTACATTGGTGAAACTAAGCAGTCGCTTCACAAACGCATGGCCCAACACAGGAGGGCCAACTCCAGTGGACCAGAGTCAGCAGTCCACCTCCACCTGAAGGACAAAGGACATTCTTTTGAGGACAGTGAAGTCCAGATCCTCTCCAGAGAACATCGCTGGTTTGAGAGAGGAGTTAAGGAAGCTATTTTTGTAAAAATAGAACACCCCTCACTAAATAGGGGTGGTGGACTAAGACACAACTTGTCTTCCATCTACAATCCTGTTTTGAGATCTCTGTCCAAACATGCCCACCAGGACAATAGGCGTCGGTCGACGGGAGGATTCAAAGACAGGTAACGACTCTCACCGATACCGGGCTGCAACAACTCGGTCGTTAATGGACAGTGTTGGCCTTCAATGGACTGAAACACCACCGAGGGGGATAAATATCTCCGGCTCAACACCAGTCAGTCAGAACTGATGAAGCCTCTTGGATTAGAGGTGAAACGTTTTCGACCTAGAAATCTAAGTCCAGTTGAAGTTTTTTTCAGCGGTGTATGCATGGTGAAATTAAATTATTACATAAGGCTTTCATTTGACAGGTGTCTGTATTTGTTCAGAACTGATTCTCCATCTTTAACTTCAAATCAAATAGTTATTGAATAGTGTAGACTGAGTGTGGCCAGTGTTTACATGGTGGTGTGATGCGGACACAATTTGTATTTTTAACACGTGATCGCAGCATGTTTGAGCATCCTCCGGTGGCTGCGCCTCAATTGACGGCGCCTCAGTGTCTGGCTGTGGCTTTGAGGACGGGATGTGGGAATTTTATGGTTTAACTGTCTGAAAAGTTTGTCTTTTTTTTCAAAAATAGAAACAGTTTTTCTCTGGAATTCTCCTAACATTTTGTTACCATCTGAAATTATATGGACACATTTTGGCAAGAAGGTGAATAACGAGGTAAAGAACCTTAATCTTTCTCCAAATTATGTCGAATTTGTACCGTATAGGACAGTAGAAATAAGAGCAACAGGACTTCCCAGTTTCTTCACTTTGAGTGATCTAAATATTTAATTTAGTTTATATGTTCTGGGTATTCCCCCGGAACAAGCAGTGTTGTTGTAGAGGTAGTGGCTTGCTACCTTCTGCTGGACAAGGAGGGTGATTACAAACCATGTATTGTAACCACGCTAACTCTGAGAGACGAAGCAGTCCAACACATTAAAGTTGAATAATTATCTGACTAATTTATTCATTTCTAACAGTATTTGGGTTTTGTAATAGTTGTAACCTATATATAGACATCCTTTAAAAACGCCCTTCGAGCCTCGTTGGCGCAGTAGGCAGCGCGTCAGTCTCATAATCTGAAGGTCGTGAGTTCGAGCCTCACACGGGGCAAACATTTTGTTTTTTTCGACCTCAGCAAATCTAGGGCGAGTCATAAATGCCGCTGTCTTCTTTTTAAAGTTTGTTTGCGTGATTTCCTCCCTATTAGCTAATGTATTGTGTCATTTACCACTATTTTCAGCAGTATGAAGAGCAGTAGACTATTTGATAGTACAAATAGTACAAATGCTGATGTTTTGAATAATAACATATTGTAGCTGTCGCTCATCTGACTACAACCTGGACACAAAATAAAAAAATTATATATTTTGTCGTGTATTACAGGCCCGGCTAGCTCAGTCGGTAGAGCATGAGACTCTTAATCTCAGGGTCGTGGGTTCGAGCCCCACGTTGGGCGATAGATTTTTTTTTTTTTATTTTATATGATGTATTATGAGTTATGTAGTTGTGTAGTTACTGCTAATACACTTTAAAGCAGGGATCAGGCCACATATTTCTGTCCGAACCATATGGAGGACGAAAAATGACTTAAATAGAATAAATAAATAAATAATTGATTACATTAATGCACAAATAAATACAGAAATAAATAAGTAAAAGAATAAATAATTAACTAAATGCATAATTAAAAGAAAAAATAATTATATGCTAGAATTAATATAGAAATGAATAAATGCATTAATAAAAAGGAAAATAAATTAAATGCTAAAATAAATACATAATTAAATGCATAAATATATAACGCCAGACAGAAGCAAATGATTCCCAGCAAGTAGTACTTGTACAAGACACACGCGCGTAAACCAAGCTCATCTTCTCTCGGAGAGAAACTGAGCGGCGCGGGCAATGGCTTCGACAGGGAGGCAGCTGGCAGACCTGCTACAGGATGTAGCTAACAAGCTTGAAAACTTTATTTATGTTTATACCTTAAGTTTAACTAGAAAAGGGAGTTTAACATTTTTAGCATTAGCTAAATACTGCAAATTAAAATGTGAGTATTTAAACAAATGAAGATACTGACTGCTCACTGTTTTGCAGCACCAGGAATCATGACCGCACCAAGCTCAGCTCTGCCGCCGTCAAACAGCGGGACACCCAGACATCCAGTGGATGGTATGTTTCTACCGTTAACAGTTTGTGATGCTAGTTCCCATTTATGGATTCAATTAATAAGCTATCATCAGTAGCCAGTGATGTATTCTGTATCATTCTACACAGACTATGCTTATGTTAGCTAACATACAGTGTTTACCTTGTAACCATAGTCTTTTAAATTGGTATTACTTTATAGATTAACTTTTAGCCTGTCCTCCTTACATAATCCCAGCCGAGGCTGCAAGACTGTTTGGTCCATACGCACATGGAGGGAGAAGAGTGACAAGGCGGCGCCCTGCTGTCCCTGCACAACTTTATTCTGTTATACCCCAGTTCTTTTATTGGACAGATTTGAGTATGGAGGGAGTCTGTCTTTCTTGATTTTAGTGCTGGTTTATTTAAAAAAAAGAAAAAAAGGATAAAGATTACAGAACACAATCCGGGTTGTTCCTTCCTCCACAAACACACTCTCTGGCTGCTCGAAACAGGAGATCCTGGAAACACAGACCCTAATACATTTACCAGTTTTGGACTAACCCCTTACACGGATGAAGTCCATCGAGCAGACTCCATCTCTTATCTAGAGCTCCACAGGCTTGGAGCAGCTGTATATTACCTAGTCATAACAAAATGAGGTAGCTCGATGTGTGTGGATATTGTTAGTGTAACAACATCCACACACTAACTAAAACATTCAAACATACTTCTTACACGAGATTAATACAAGAAAACAACTGGTGTCAAGGTACACTTTTCAGAATCAACATTATCTTCTAACCTTGAAACAGAGCAAACTGGAGCAGACTTTGAATCTTACTAAACTACATTACTAACACATTAAAGTCTAACACAATAATGTCTAACAATTATCTGACTGATTTATTAATTTCTAACAATTCCTTCTGCTGTCTTGAAAACAAAAATGCGGACAGTGTCCCCAGTCGATATGCCAAAGAGAGGCTTGCTGTTGCAGGACTAGGGGAAAAACGATTAACATTTCAAGGTGTGCAAAATATGATGAGTACTGACTTTTTTTTAACCTGTTAGCAGACTTCTTATAGCCTACTGCATATTAATCAATGATTCAGTGATACTGAGTTACCATAAAAACATTTAAACTGCCACTGATATTGGTTAATTTCTATGAATATGAGAAAAGGTTATTTGAATTCTCTCCTCTCTTCAGGTAGTCATACAAATCCAGATGAGTTCAGAGAATTCATTTTAGAATCATATCCAAAACTCAGACAAGGGGGTGGATTTGAATTGCTCAAAATTTCTGGAACAACAAGAAGTCGCCAGCTGATCCTCATCTCCTGTCCCAATGAGGGCTACCGTGTGAGACATTTGAAAAATTCACAAACCCAGATCGGTCATGCTACCATCTTCATTCGACCACTTCAGCGGAACCTGAATCTGGAACCTGTAAGTGCCTTACTTTACATAAAACCAGTGCTGTCTTATTAACAGTCACATGATTGTTTGTTGTGTTTTACAGTGAGCGTTTTTACACGATTGTCAACCAGGACGCAGAGGCGAACTGGTTGGACCACCTCAGAAATGTGTTACATGTGGGGATGAGTTCCCTTTTTCATGCATAAAA